ACGTAATTAAACAGAATCACTACTCGGCCGGTTTAGAGACCTCTTTTTCATCTTCTCCAATGGTGCTCTCAAGAGCTCTCCAAACCATCCATTATTTTTAATAGATATTGCATTCCAACCATTCTTTATCTTTTTAAAGGGGTGAATAATGACACTTCAAATATAAAAGATTATTATAAAGAAGTGAATAATGACACTTCAAATTCATAGCTTACACGATCACCAAACTTCTGGTTCGTTCACAAGGTTTTGTTATCCAATGAATTGGGTTCATATTACACCAATGAATTTATCGGGACAAAATAGAAAATAATACTAACTTAAGGACTAAAACGTAATTAAAAAGAATCACTACTCGGCCGGTTTAGAGACCTCTTTTTCATCTTCTCCAATGGTGCTCTCAAGAGCTCTCCAATCCAACCCATCCATTATTTTTAATAGATATTGCATTCCAACCATTCTTTATCCGTTATCTTTTTAAAGGGGTGAATAATGACACTTCAAATATAAAAGGTTATTATTGATTCCTTTAAATACTATTCAATTTTCATTTTAATCCCTACAATTATATAAAGTTTAACAATTACATAATAACTTTTTATATATTATGTTTTAATACTTATCGATATAGTTTCTAAAAACTATTTCAACTAAAAATATATTATTGACACTTTTTATATTATGTATAAGTATATTTGACTATATATTATTATTGGAGATGTTTTATTTTATATAAATATTGTTGAAAATGTATATTCATTGCTTCTTTGTTAAATTTTAGTGATTATAGTTAATTATTAATAATATTGAGGACTAAAATGTAATATATAAAATTCTGAATGAAAATTTTTAAAGATTATGGTTAGAGACCTATCCCTTTATTTTCAGTGGGTCTCTTTTTTAAAATAAAAAGTGTGCTTGGAGATGCTCTAAGTATCGACGGGATTTCAAATAATCAGAACAATACGTACCGAGATGCTACTAATTGGAATGAAGATGATATAGAGATGCAATTCTGATGGAAACGAGAGATACATATGCGCACAGTGTTTCGAACCGCCTAGGCTCCAAAGTCTAATTCAGACGTCATCGCATTCGATGAGCTCGCTCGTATTCCAAAACGACGGTGTTTGGGTACTCAAAAGGTGAAGACTTTATGGTGGGTGACTGTACCTGAGGGATTGATCAGGACACATGATGTAGTTAATAGAGTGTATGGGTTCTCAGTGTTAGTTTGGTAAGACTTTATTCAAATAATGTATGTACAACTACTGAAATACATAGAGTCACAACCTGTTGATTGATTCTTTCTTATCACTGACTCCTATCCTGGGTATATATATTTATTGTTTACTGGTGGGCAGGGTAAAGATATAGCTCTATGGAATCTTCCTGCCTCAGAGTACGTATCAACAGTATCCTCCTCTGCACATGTACCGGATGATGTTTGATGCAAAACAGGTAAGCAGAACTAGACTATTGTTATATTATAATCTAAGCGGTGTTATTTATTTATTTATTTACTAGGTGACTGGTCCGCATCCTGTGTGGGCATGAAAAAATACTGTGATATCGGTTGGGTTGAATTTTGATGGAAACATATCTTCAATAGTGAACTCATTGATCTCCAAGTATTGCATGATCTTCTTCTAAGTTTTTTGGTAACAAATATGAGTCTGATTATTTTTCAAAGTTGTGTGAACAGAGTTGATATCGTCTCATGGGCTGTTGTTGATCGGAACCGGGTTGATGGTCCAAAGATAGGGAGGTGACTTGTTGTATCTATGAACCACTTTTTATGGTTTTAGCTTAGTTTATGTTTTTTTGTCATGAGATGTTGTGATTACAAGCAGTGATCTTGCAAGGAAATCTATAAAATCTATCCATTGAATATGGAATAAATTTGTATTTATGTTTCGATTTTTCAATCTCATTTGTATCTCTTACAATTATGATTGTATCATAAGCTGTTTTGAGTTTTTTACTTACGAGGTATATATTATTAATAAAGCTGCTATTTGGATTTGATGCAGGGTGGATGTTGTAGTCTTTGTCATTTAGGAGGTAGTCATCTAAGCATTCTTAGTGTTCTCAGTTGTTTCCTTGTACTTCAAGCGATTGCAGCTCGCTTTCATCTTGGTATGCGTCACTTTGCTACTATTTGTTTACATGAAGGTCACAAACCAGGTGAGATCGGCCAGTTAGAAGAAGCGAAGGATGCTTCTTCCACTGTCTATGTAAAGAAACACCAACCCCATATGAGAAGCTCGCCTTTATATTATCACTAAGTGAAATTGAGTTGTATAAATTCTGTAATTTTATATTTTCTATTTAATTCGAAAACTTATGTTTTTAAACAAAAAAAATTAAAAACAGTGGCATATTAAAAGAAAATATGAAATAAATTCAAATATAATCCATAAGTAATATAAAATAAGAAGTACAATTCTTGATAAAAAAAATTACATTCAGAAACCTGCTCAAAATTATTTTATTTGTAAGCAATTGTACAATATCAAATATCTTAATAGATTTCTAAATTTTATTGACACCAAACCTTTATTAAATTGACATACCGTTATCGAAATAGTCTTAAAACTGGTTTTTAGTCAACTACAACCCGTTTTTCGTCTGTGCTATTCTATCTGTTAATAGAAAAAATAAATGTAAATATTTAATAATTCAAAATATCTATCGAATAAAAATAGACTAAAATGGTGTACTGTGGAATATTCTGAAAAAACTTGTTTGTAAGCAACATTTGTTGTTTTTTTTACGGCTTCCATTGTTTATATGTTATCAGAATTTTTAATCCAGATCTCTACTTTACTCTCGAAAGTACAACGTATAAATGGCCATGAGAGAACACAGGTCTAGGTGAAAACAAACCAACATTTTGCAGCGTTTGACCTTGACTTTTATTGATAGTCATCGCAAAAGCCAATGTAACTGGAAACTGTCTTCAACGCATTCTGAAAGAAAACTTTGTGTCAGGTGGTGTGACAAACATTCTTGGGATCCAAATTGAGTTTCCGGAAATATCGTTGACCGTTATATTTCTACCTTGTACCACATGGGGCAATAATTGAGTAACAAAAGTCTCAACCTATTCGAAAATCAAAAATAAAACTAAATAAACCTAAATATGATAACAAAGGGTAAATCACGTGGCTTTTGATAAGAAAATGAATGGCACAACATGTTTATATACCAGAGTACTATCGATGATCTCTCTTATGATTAGCCTCTCACTACGAACAAAAAAACTGGCACGAACAGATGTAGCAGTACCATCAGACCATTGGGTGCTGTCGTTATTTGTAAGAGCAAGATAATCATTGGGGAGATTGCACAATCAAGTAATACATCCAATTAAAACGTTTTAGTAGGTTGTGTAGGTGGAGAAATATAGGATTAGGTAACAAAAACTGTCAAACTGGAGGAGTACCTTGCTTTGAAGGTCAATCAAATCGAGTGTTGGGTTGAGAAAAATATGTGTTGAATTATAACTGCTAGATATGGAGAAAGCACCTTCAATATTTAGATTTTATCAACATGTGCAAGTAAACATTGTAAAAAGTAAGTACGTTATATACCTTTCCACTCTTTAAGAGAACAGAACCTGATAACACAAATAATCATTGTGGACATGTTACTCATACTGTAATCGTATACTTGTTTAGCATAACGACCCTACAGAGTAAACATCATCTTCACATTACTGTAAAATATTAAATTAAGTGAGAAAATAGAATATAGATGTTTAGCTAGCAAATAAAAGAAAAAGATAAAGAACTTAAGCTTACTTTTGGTCACGCAACTCAATCAAGAGCCATATGTTATCTTTTCCTTTTATCGTTTTGTTTTCTAGAGACCCGAAGTTAACTATTTGGTCAATAACATCTACATAACAAAAACAGAAAATATCAAGAACAAGTATAACATAACCGATGTCTTATTTAACTTAAAACAAGTCTGGTGGCTCATTTTAATCACGCGACTTATGTTGTAGAGTATTAATGGTTAGAGTATTAATAAAAATCCAAGCTACATGATAAATTCTAATGAAACTGACTCACCAACCAAACAGCTGTTATCAAGTTTTCCACCAAAAATATCATCGTAGTCCGCAAAATACTTTTCGAGGACATCACTTGGGAACTCATCAGCTTTGGCAACAAAAGTTGTTGGAAAGAAGCCAATTTTGTACAGAGGTCGGGTTGTACGGTAGTCACCATTAGCACCGTACACTTTGAACAACTGGAGGACAATCACATTTTCTCATGTAGCTTGTCTTCATACTTTTTGATCAGCTGCTCACCAACTGAAGCATGAATTATTGTCCCCTGATACGGAATATACAAGTCATGACTTAGACAAAGTGAACGATAAAAGTTCGGTGAAAGCAAAATAATTAGATATAAAACAATTTTTTTTCCAAGAAAAAGTTTAGTTTATTGTATAATAAATATAAAATAAAAGACGAATCTGAGATGTTAAAAAATTTGTAGTAATATCTTTACTTACTTCTTTATCAACAAAAACCATTTACTTGGTGTTTCCTGATTCTTTGTTATAGTTTCTCCACAAGCGGATAATCTTAACTTCAATACGCGATGTATCTTTACGCGGTTTTAATTCTCTAACATAAGAAACAACGCTTTTGGAGGCTTGAACCAATGCCACTCTTTTTTAACATTAAACGCAAAAGAGAAGAATGTTTGTATTTTAAGACCCTGGGGGTCGCCTATATATATAAGTTCTTATAATAATGACGTTTCCGTTATATTATTCATAATAAATACTGAAATCGTTTAAAGAAAGATATTAAAATTGTATTTTCATAAATTGATTTGCATATGATATGATTTTAACTTGCGCAAGTAATTCATATCAGAAAGGTAAGTTATTGAAAACAAACAAGCTAATTAGAATCCCAAAGGTAAATTTCATTTAAACAATATAATAAATACAATATCAAGATGCATAAGTTTTCCTTGGGGAATAATAAGGAAAGTTATTACTACACGAAATTAAATTACTTAATGTAATAATCTTGAAATTTGTAATTATCTATATAGTAAAGTTATTAATATACGATATCAATGTAAATATCAATGTAATAATCTTGTGCAAGTAATTAAAATTATTATTTTTGTCAAAACCGAAAATTAAATTATAAATCGTTTCAGAAAATCATGTGAGGATCCAAAAGGCATAGCACCTAAGAATTTTTTCATACCTTGTATCAAAGCTCATCAAGATCCATTACATCCCAGGCATCTTGCAAAAAGAAAGTATACATAACGTGAGTGGAAGCAGAATGAAGTCGCCTAAAAGTATAAATACTTTGTATGATTCTCCACAAAATGGACAAGACTCTATCTAACTTCAGTCCACAGGGAGGTCCTATGCTGCAGGTGGAGCATAATTTTCTCCAATAACAGTGACCTTAACGCTACCATAATACAATTGATTTGACTACCACACTAGTTAATGCATTTTGGCCTCCAAACATACAATTGTGCAAATAATTAGATACGACCTAGCACTAAACAATCTCATAGAGTAAGACAATCAAATGATTACATGGCACACAATAAGGTTGATTCACTTATTTTTTCACATACTGAGGCAAAAACGTTCATATTCTCAACCATACAAAAAGTTTGTAGCTCAAAATCAAAAAGGGCTGTGTAGCAGTGACTGTAAAGAGCGTACCTCAGAAATATTATCATAATCTTCTAGAAATTCAAGCCCTACAACAAAAACATTAATTTTAGCATAATCCCAAACCAATTCCCCTCAAAGAGAATTTGAGAGTGATATATAAATAAGTGTATTCACGATTTACCAACCCAGTCAAAGCAGACAACCTATCAGCCATTACCCTTGCCTCAACTTCCTGGAGGGCTATAACAAAAGCTTCATCATCTGAATAACCAAGCTTCTCCTGTAATAAATTCCATAACATTTTTAGAAACACTTTAAATTATACCAAAGATCATGCACTCAAGTCTCTAGACAAACAGTAGAAAACTACACTATCACATTGGCCTGAACAACCACACTCCCTACAAAACAGTACCAAGGCTTAAGTACTTTAAAACCACAACAGATATATATACTCACCTAGATTAACGAACAGTGACGATCCAAATCTTAGTTCGTCAACAATCCGATTTTGAATTACCAAGACGGATCAAAAGTACAAAAAAACTATCAGGTATCTTCTTGATTCTACGGGAAAGAAAAATCCAATCAAATCAACGAAGCCTAGGATTCTCAGAGCTGCGACACAGAATCGAATCGGAGAAGACTCACAACATATCGAAATCTGAGAGACAGAAGATTCGGATTGATTACACGAATCGGCTTTTTGGAGCTTCAGTGAACTCCGAGAGAATTGCAGAGAGAAGGGGAGAGAGAGAGAGAGAGAGAGAGAGAGAGAGAGAGAGAGAGAGAGAGAGAGAGAGAGAGAGAGAGAGAGAGAGAGAGAGAGAGGGCACCGAACATAAGCGGCGTAAGGTGTGTTTTGGTAAGAGGAAGATCGAGAAACTTTCTTAGCCATGGAATCCGAGAGAATCAAAGAGAGAAGGAGATGATAGAGAGACGGCACCAAACATAGGCGATTTTCGGCTATTTTAAAAAAAGAAATTAAAAAAAGAAAATCAACCAATGCAATTAAAAGAATTTTCCTGAGAGGTTCAATATGAGCGACACGTGTCAAGAATTCACTAAAGTAACTTCTCTTTAAATATATAAGGAGATTTTTGTAAAACCGATGTTATTTGTTTACCAAGGATTAATTGGGTTTTTGATTTTTTTTTGTAGTATCAACTCAGCTCAAATTAATAAAAAACAAAACAAAAATATACTGATTTTATGAAACTGGAAACACAGATAATAACAGTCTTAATTCTTTTGTAAAGGTTGATTATTTTTGTTTTTTATTTTACAGTTTTTTAACTCATAATCTAACAAATACCACACAATCAGATTTTGAGTTTAGGAGCAGAACCGCTTCTAAGATGATTCGACTTAAATGGAGCTTTGCTTTTTCAATTTCAATGTACTCCTAGTTCAGTTTTTTTTCCATTTTCTTGCATCCAGCAGGAGTAAGCTTCTGATCCCTTTCTTTCACCCCTTTGTCCAATAAGCTATATTTTTACTGCTGTAAAGATTTTGTCATATCTATCTAGTTATCCGTATCTTATCGGTTATGCCTGCTTTCAACGACTACCAACCCTAAACAATCGATGTGTCAATGGATTAAGCTACGGAACAACATTTTATCATTGTAGATTAAAATTTGCATTTTAAATAAATGTTTTTATTTAATAATTTCAGTGTAAAATTTATTAATTTTATTTACTATTATATTTTTTATGTGTTGAAATGTGGTTAGATGTATAGGTAATTGTGTTTTTTCTATATAATATATAAAATTAAATGTTATCTTATTATGTGTAAAAAATCCAAAATGATAAATAAAATTGAAACGGATGGAGTAACGTTTTTTCTTTAGATTCTTGTCCCTGGAAAAGAGTTTAAGATTCCGGTTTCCCACGTGTTCTCAGGTGGTTAACTGGTTATAGAGCAGTTGTGTTTTTGGTCTGATTCGGTTTGACTATAGACCAAATTATTTGAATCGGTTTGTGATCTTGTATATGGGTAACGAACTTCCTTCTGACTTTTTAAATATTAAGGAGTTCTATTTTCTTAGATGACTGACGAATATCAAATATTGTTAAATAACTTTTCATAATTTGCTTTCTAATGTTACCTTTTAAAAAGACAAAGTTGACCATCAAACTAAATAATCTTAAACAACAAGTACTCGCCGACAAAAAAAAACAATAAATAATCGTTTACATTTTATTACTATATCTATTATATATTTTGTTGTAAAAGATAATAGACTACATGACTTTTTCTGATCAGACCATGCTTTAACAAAAATTGAAGAACACATCAGCATTTAAGTACATTAATAATTAATCTTATCTTCTCCAAAATAATTTTGTTAAGAAGAGACCGAGATTTGTTAATATCATTGGCATTACGAAAATTAGTATTATGAAGAATATGTCAATGCTTTTACAAGTTTATGCGTAAAGAGATGTAAAAGGTAGGCGAAGGGGGTCAAAGGTAGAGATTTGAACACACCACCAATGCATGTCATTGTTTTTGTATGTCATTGTTTTCACTGACAGTAACAGTCTCTCGATCCAAACCTTATTAATTGTTCGGCTGTTTCAATACTACTATTCAATAGCAAATTGTTTATATTCCTTCTGCATAACAGTAAACTTTCACGTGATTTTGTGAAAGCCAGACGTTTTTATTAATAGGAAATATTTAACTTACCGCCTAATTATCTTTTTTCTTATAATAATACCACCTAATTATCTTGTACGTAGGTAGATAGGAAAGACATTGCAGATAGGGATTCAATGGAAACGATTGGTTTGATTGTAACTATAAAAGTTTTGCGGTAGAATTTAGTTGGTATAAATTAAATAAAAAATGAAAAAATATATTTCTAGCCATCCTACAATAATATTCTTTTACTTTAGAAAATAAAATTCATACAGTCATTTTTAATCATTAAAACAATTTAAAGTATAATTAATAATTAATATAATTGTTAATAGAAAATAAAGTTAAAATCATTGGTTAAAACCCAATCACTCACCATATATTTTTATAAAACCGGTGAAAATATCCAACGCGGTCGAGCTTTGGAAACAATAATGGCAAAATTATCTTAGGGAAGCAAAGATGCCTCACTCTTTCTTAACCGGCAAGAAATTGCAATAATGTAATACTGTTTTCTTTTGCTAAAAAATAATATAATTCATAACGATATAATTCATTGTACAATGATTATGTAAATTACTTTTAATCACTAGAGTAACGTTAGTACATAATTCTATTGAATTTATTTTAGAATAAACTAGATCTCAATCCGCGCGGATATTTGTTTCATTTAATTTTATATAAATATTTTTTGACTTTTAAATTGGTATATATTATATAAGATGTGTATATCGAAAATCATGATTAATTATTATATAATACAGATTAATATTGTTAGAAAATGATGATTTTGTTATTTTTAAAAATAAACTATATAATTTTTAAAGTTAACATAAAAATATATATATAAATAATTAACTTATACTATTACAATATTAAATTATATAAGTTTAATTTAAGTATGTATTTTATTATAATATCTATAAATCCAATGGATCATCTAATTTTTATTAACCTAATAAAAATTTCTAATAACCCCAATAAATGTTATTAGTGAATCTAATGAGTTTTATTAATGATTGAATAATGTAATTCTATTAAATGGTCCATTTTAAAATATCACATATGAACTGAAGTCATGACTTCTCTTTTAATATATAAGATAACTGTACTGAACTTTGGAAAAAAGAATAAATCACTGAATAACATCCAAATTAGCAAATCTTGATATTTTAAAATTAATTTGGGGAATTTCGTGGTAATGTGATGAATTTTTTTCCCTTCTCCCAGAGGGTTAAACAAAAACTAGAAGAAAAATAAAAAGATTGAATAACATCCAAATTAGCAAATCGTGGTATTTTAATTTTGGGGGAATTACGTGGCAATGTCTTGAATATTCTCTTCTCACAAGAGGGTTATAGAAGAAAAATAATAAAATCGATGAATAATGTTAGTAAAATATCTATTTAAAAAAGAAAAGGGAGAAAATCCTATAAATAAGAGAAATATCTCCCCGCACCGCTATACCTGTCACCATTGTTGTCATCTTCTTCCTCTCTTCTCTCTCTCGTGAATCTTTTCTTTTCCCTTACCAACAAAAAAAAGAACTTTGATTCTCTTAGCAGGAAAGAGACACACGATAAACCGATTAATAAGCAATTTTCTATTTTCTCAACAAATCTTTTCAAAAAATCCACTTTTGGTTCTTTTCCATTAGATTCTGATTCTCCACTGCTGCAATCATTTCTCACCGTTTTCCTCTGCATGCTCTTCGCCTCCCTAAAACCTAAACGCGTTTGCAAAAATGGCGATTTTGGATTCTGGAGGAGGCGTCGTCTCTATGCATACAGAGAACGGTGTTGCGGATCTCGATACGCTTCGTCGACGTAAACCGAGATCGGATTCTTCTAACGGTCACCTTTCCGATTCCGTAACTGTCCCCGATACTTCCCCGTCAGATGATGTCGGAGCTCCGGCCGACGTGAGGGATCGGGTTGATTCCGCTCAGGGAAGAGAGAATTTGGCCGGAGATACCGAAAGTAGGGAATCCGGAGGAGGAGGAGATGGGAGGTTCACGTATAGGCCTTCGGTGCCAGCTCATCGGAGGACGAGGGAGAGTCCACTCAGCTCTGACGCTATCTTCAAACAGGTTTATCTTTCTTTCTTCTAACTTGCATTTGAGGGATTGAATCTTATTGTGGATTTTGTTTTTTTTTTTTGCTAATTGGCAGAGCCATGCAGGATTGTTCAACCTCTGTGTTGTTGTTCTTGTTGCTGTTAATAGTAGACTCATCATCGAAAATCTCATGAAGGTTAGTAACTGATTCTTTTCTCCGCTTTGCTTGAAACAACTATAAGACCATGAGACCTTTGCTATCGTTTCTGTAGTATGGTTGGTTGATAAGAACTGATTTCTGGTTTAGTTCTACATCGCTGCGAGATTGGCCGCTTTTCATGTGTTGGTACTATTGCTTCCTTCTTCTTCTGTTATTTCACCAAATTAACATTTCTTTATACATAATTAATGAATTTAGAGATGCTTATAAAAGTTTGGTTTTTTTATGTTGCAGTCTATCCCTTTCAGTCTTTCCGTTGGCTGCCTTTACCGTTGAGAAATTGGTGCTCCAGAAATGCATATCTGAACCTGTGAGTAAACTACTGTCTACCCTTTATTGAAGGACATATTTGTATTTTGGAGAACTTATATACGTTTCTTTTTGAAGGTTGCCATCATTCTTCATGTTATTATAACCATGACAGAGGTCTTGTATCCAGTCTACGTCACCCTAAGGTTAGAATTAAGCTACGGTGTATAATGTTCTTTTTAAAATTTAGTTGGCTAAATCGGTGATCTTGGAAACGGACAGGTGTGATTCGGCCTTCTTGTCAGGTGTCACGTTGATGCTGCTCACTTGCATTGTGTGGCTGAAGTTGGTTTCTTACGCTCATACCAGCTACGACTTAAGAACCGTGGCCAGTTCAGCTGATAAGGTAAAAGAAGTAATATATCTTAGTCACTTGCATTTTGTATTACTATTTTGACCAGACACTGTTATAAACTTTAGGTCGATCCTGAAGTCTCCTACTATGTTAGCTTGAAGAGCTTGGCGTATTTCATGGTTGCTCCCACTTTGTGTTATCAGGTAATGAGAGACGTCTTCTCGTAATAGCATCAAACATTCTTACACTTGTAAATGTTTCTGGTCTAAACCTTGCGTTTTTACTTTTCCAGCCTAGCTATCCACGTTCTCCATGTATCCGGAAGGGTTGGGTGGCTCGTCAATTTGCAAAACTGGTCATATTCACTGGACTCATGGGATTTATAATAGAGCAAGTGCGTTTTCAATATCTTTCTTGTTTATTTTTTCCTTGTTAAAATCAGCATTTCTGTATTGTCAACCGCTTGACTGCATCTACTTTTGTTACTTCTTTGGCAGTATATAAATCCTATTGTTAGGAACTCAAAGCATCCTTTGAAAGGGGATCTTCTATATGCTATTGAAAGAGTGTTGAAGCTTTCAGTTCCAAACCTATATG